TTTTTAAAAGGAGTGGTACCCCCCCCGGGGGGGGGTTTTTTTTCCCTTTTTTTTTTTTTTTTTTTTTGTTTTTTTTTTTTTTTTTTTTTTTTTTTTAAAAAAAAAAAAAAAATCACAACCCTTTTTAAAAAAAAAAAAAAAAAAAAAAAAAAAAAAAAGGAGTTAAAGACCCATCACCTGAGTCGGTTCCAATCGTTCCTGTAAACGAGTCGGCAAAGAGAGCCGGATCCGTCGCATTGGCACCTTCGGAACGTGTTCACGTGATGACGCAAATGTCACATGATGTTGTCTCATGCTAACAACAAATCGAAAATATCCGGATTTATCTTTTTTCTGAGTGCCTAACACACAGTCCAACCGAACCGACAGCTGCTGTTCAGCCTAAACTAAACAGGTAACTCGCTAGCTAAGATAGTTTTCAGTGAAGCCTCTGGTTAGGTGATAACCAAGGATTGTCGTGTTCCTACCATGTAAAGAAGCTCAATGAACTAGCTGCTCTTCCTCTGCACAGTCAGGAGACACTGCATTTCTTTGTGACTCATATGCAATGCAGGCGTTTAACTTGTTATTTCCATCAGATAAAGGTGTTAGATCCGACCGCTCGACGCCAAACAGACTGGGTCAACCGAGTAGCTCCAGATGGAGGTAGAGGGGATGGAAGATGAAGGACCTTCGTCCCAGAGTGAACTTCCAGGTGAAAACATGTCTCTGCACAATCTGTCACTGTTCATTGTCCAAGCCTGCGTGCCTCTACACAGTGATACACAATCGCAGCTTCATTTAAAAGCACAAAGCAGTTTGCTTGCACGAGTAGAGAGGAAAGCTTCTGGAAGACGGCAGGTATTCTTTTTTCAGGTTGCCATGTGTTTAGTTTGTTTGAAGCAAGCACTGAGCTACATTCCCAGGAAGATTAGAACTACAAGAGAACTGCTTAGGAGCAAACTAATGCCTCTGTTGCCCAAATCCCTCCTCAGATTTGAGTTCTCTGTATTTCACCGTCAGACATTTGCAAATAAACATTAAGTTAACCCTGATGCAGTTCGAAGTTAATAGAGTTGCACTGATCTGATTGAGGCTACATATTTGCAGTGCTTTGTAAAAGTATTCTTTAAAGTACTCAGTTTTGTTCACATCCTTTCACATGTTCACTGCTCTGCCCTCGCAGCTTGTGACAAACTGTGAACAAGGATTGTTGTGACTTTCTGTCACCAAAAAACCTATCTTTCTGCCTTCCTTCCATTAAAAGCAGACCAATTGAGTTCACCACCAATAGTTGTCCTGTCAACAACATCTCCGAAAGTCCCCCAGAGTTACCATGGGGCAACTGGATTTATACTGAAATTGAATCACACACAGGTGAAAATAACTTAATGTGTTCAGAGTAAAGAATTCTCAATAATAATAACAATAATAACAATGCTTTTCAGTTGTGCATTTGTCAAAAAATATAGA